AGGGTGTCTAATCTTCAGGTGAATTTAGCCGAGGTGTCTAAAATATTTATATCACAGAATGAGCGCCTGCGCTTTCAAACAGCAGGCGAACGGTCGTCAGACTCAGATTTTAAAACAATAACATAAAGCGGCGAACGGTAGCCTGGCTAACTTTACGGGAGTCAGTGGCAGGTCGGAGCGTCAGGTGTTGACGACTGCCCTTGGTAACGTTCTTTTCATGTTCCTGGTCTTAAGCTGTGGTCACACAAGTGCTTTTATGAGCAATTAACTTGAAGCAAGAAATTGCAATCAAGTTCTTCCAAATGTGGTCACACGGGTAGTTCTCGCTCGTGTCTACAGCAAGAACAAAAAAAAGTGAACGCTGCCGTGCGTGTAGATGGAAGACGGAACATCTCAACAACAAGACATATTAATATGAAAAAGAAACGAGAGAAATTGAAGAAAAGCGATTGTGAACTCTCAAGTGACTGGCGAGGAAGAGGACTGAAAGTGTTTATTATAGACTGGTTGGACTATCGTAGCTACAGTAGGGAGGGCTGCTTGTGTGAACTATGAACAGCTGCCGCACTTGTTTTGAAAACAAACTTGTCAAATCAGCACTCAAATTATAAACTGTTAGTGCATTATATATATATACACATATATATATATATATATATATATATATATATATATATATATATATATATATATATATATATATATATATATATATATATATATATATATATGTACACTTAATAAATGAGTTCGAGTCATTAAATACTGTACAGTATTTGACGTGTTTTGACCCGGTCATCTTGCTCGAAATCGTCAAGAAATTGACGATCACGACCGCCCAGAAAAATTGCTCTAAAAACTTGGTCGAACTTTTGGATATTTGCTCGAAATAACTTTAAGTAAAAAAATTGCTCATGAAAGCTCTCTATGATAATCTATGCCTTAAATACTAGAATAAAAAAAGGGGAGGGGGGAGGGGGGAAGGGGGCAGGATGGGTGGAGTTTTATCACTTGAGGGAAACCAGATTTTGCAGCTCATGACCCAACAAGTAATGGATGTCGAAGAAATGGTCAGTTTTGATTGGCCCGTCACTGCCTTGTTTTTTACGGAAGAAAATACTCTTAAGACACTTGAATTTCATCATCATAACAAATACATAAATCAACTTATATAGATAAATACATAGATGATTACAAGTGATCGCGGACCCTTCGTGCCAGGTTTGCCGTCCAGCTGACAGGGTACAGCGAATGAGGGTGCGCCAAGTCCGTAGACTTGCATCGTTTTCCAGTGTAAATAAAATGGTTAATTAATGCCTTCCCAAAGAAACTATCGACATGGGACCAGGTTGTGTTCCACTCTACGAATTTTTTGCGATTTTTCCACCAAGTTTGATGAAAAACGATTGTGCCGTTTCGGCTGCCCAGAACAGACAGACAGACACACGGCTATTCCTGTAGTATATTATAGATTCAGAAAAAAACGTCATACATATTTATATTCTTCTGTTTTTATGAAGACACTGCATGTACATAAACAGTGGAAGTATAAAAATCAATCGTAAACAACAATACGATTCATCATGGTCAACACAACAAAACCCACAAGAATACAATAAAAAAACACAAGAAAATACGAAAACAAGAAAACACAAAAACGAGAAAAACACTGAAATGCATATAAAATAATACACATATGAAAAACACTAAAACACAAGTAAACACTAAAACAATAAAAAACACGAAAACACATGAAAAACAAACACAAGAAAATACAATAAAACCCAAGAAAACACTAAAACAATAAAAAGCACGAAAACACAAGAAAACACAATAAAACAAGAAAAAACGAAAACCACAAGAAAAAAACCCCACCCAAACGGTAATGCAATACAGGAGACACTATATTAAATAAAGAGTTTCTCCCCAGTGTCGCCTTCATGCCACATCGTCCGTGAACCTCGCAATAATTGGCGCCAGTTTGTGTCCAGCGCCGCCACCACCTTCTTTTGTTTATGGGGCTTGTTTTCTCTCCCTTCTCCTTATCCTCCTTCGATATCTTCTATGCTTCCACCAACTCCGACTCCTCCTTTTCTCCCTTCTCCTCCGCCAAGTCGTCGTCGTTCTCCTTTATGCTGGCCTTCCTGTGTGTGTGTGCTGGCAGATAGTTGTGTGTGTGTGTGTGTGCTGGCAGATAGTTGTGGGCGTGCCGTGTGACAGTGTTGGCAGGTGGCGGTAGTGGTTGTGGCAATGTTAGCAGCATGTGACAAGTGTTGGCAAGTAATGTTTGGAATAGTCATGTTATTCTTGTATTTCCTAACGCTAACCTTCACATGACAAGACACACAACAAGTGGTGAACAGTGCTTACTGCTTAAGTCAGTGAGGTCCCAGGTACCAAATAATAACTGCCCATGAGACCCAACAACAAGTAGCAATGTGTTAATCCGTCTACGATAGGGAGGCCTGGGACCCCACCTGACTGTACACCACTTCAGTGAGGAAGATCCGGTGACACCAGCCCACGTGGTGCCCCCATGACGCTACGACATCATGTAGTGAATGAGTTGCAACAGAATCATTTGAGGGAATTACTACACCACGCCGGGCCCCTCATAACACCATCTGTGAGGGAATTACTAAACCACGCCGGGCCCCTCATAACACCATCTGTGAGGGAATTACTAAACCACGCCGGGCCCCTCATAACACCATCTGTGAGGGAATTACTACACCACGCCGGGCCCCTCATAACACCATCTGTGAGGGAATTACTAAACCACGCCGGGCCCCTCATAACACCATCTGTGAGGGAATTACTACACCACGCCGGGCCCCTCATAACACCATCTGTGAGGGAATTACTAAACCACGCCGGGCCCCTCATAACACCATCTGTGAGGGAATTACTACACCACGCCGGGCCCCTCATAACACCATCTGTGAGGGAATTACTACACTACTTGTTTGCTGTTCAACACCTCAGCGCTTAGTTAGTTAGTTAGTTAGTTTAACAACTTTATTGACAAAGCTTGTAGTACAGTTTGCCTATTCTGAGTAATTCAGTCAGGTCTTGACAATGAGGGTGGTATCACTTCTAACTGCCACGCAGGACAGAGGTTCATACACAAAGAAATACAACATATTCATTAACAGCTATATATAGGTCAGATTCATGTGGGTAATGTCACTGTTCACTGCCATGTGATATACGTGACCTCCACTGTAAACATTAATCTGTATGATCACTATGTTCCTCTTCCTTTCTGTAATGAAAGCCTTTATTACCCCCACGTCTTTGTATGTAATAATTCATCTATGCCCACTGTATATTTTCAGCCGTCGGGCTGCCGAACTTTTTCAATAAACCGTTAATTATTATTATTATTATTATTATTATTATTATTATTATTATTATTATTATTATTATTATTATTATTATTATTGCGCGCGCGCACACACACACACACACGACAGATCGACAGATGGTGAGACACTCAACATAATGCACTACACATGGTGAGACACACTTTAACATCTTAATTTAGTGTGTGATGTGAGTGACCGGAGACTACATCACGTGCAGTATATGGCGCGAGAAGAAACATTTAATTCACAACAGGTGTTCTTGAGTCAAGGGCGCCATCATTACGTCCGATGTTTTGCCGATTCTCTTGATAATCTAGATTCTAAGATGCGTTCGTCAGTATTCTTCCCTCAAGGTAATATAATCCATAAATCACCTGCAGATTAGACACCCCAGCTTACTTCAATCGACCACACAGACTAACGCTACCAGAGGATTCGTTATATTTTGTTGTTATGATATTCAAAATTCCTCAAGAGGAGGTACGGACTTCTAAAATGCCTGCTAGAGCAGGGTGTTTACAAAGTCCTTTAATGTGTGTGTTTATGGAGTCCCTTAATATTTATGTTTACAGTCCCTTAAGGCAGCACCATACCCCCTAAGTTCAGGTGTATCAGTCATCATCATCATCAAAACAATAATGGTTGCCCCTCGTGTAACGAGGATGGCCGGGCCTATAAGGGCCACCAAGGCGTGAATTTATTTAAGGTGTAGAAGCTCTCGCCAACACAACAATCATACCCTAAGTTAACGAGCTGCATAACCCAGTGTCAAGGAACAGTCCGAGAAGACCGGACAACTCACCAACTGCACTGGCTAACCATTACCCCGGAATACGATCCGCTAATCGATTAACATCCAGGTTCCCAATTACTGCCGGGTAGACAGAGGCAAATGGCGTAAAGAAACTTGCCCATAGTTTCACCCTGCCTGGGATCGAACCCATCATCATCATCGTCATCATCATCATCATCACGTCTGTTGTAACTTAAGACTTGAAGGTAGAATTCTTAAGACGGTAACAGAGGCGAACCTTCACACACTCCTTGTTATTCCTCCTGTGAGCGGGAGCAAGACGAGCATAGTGGAGAACAGTTATGAGAGTACACACTGTAAACACAAACAAGAAGGGACTTTATAAACAGAACATCAGGGGATTTATAAACAGAAAAATCAAGGGACTTTATAAACACGAAACATCAAGGCACTTTGTAAACACCCTGTATAGTACAATATAACCACCTATTCTTGAGTACAGAGACAGGTTAAAGCATCTTAATTTGCACTCCCTCGAAAGACATAGAGTGAGGGCGACATGATAGAGGTGTATAAATGGAAGTCAGGGCTAAACAAAGGGAACATTACAAAGGTACTCAAACTATCCAACCAAGAGCGAACTCGTAACAATGGTTTTAAATTAGACATATGTAGATTTAAGCGCGAAATAAGTAAACATTGGTTTGGAAATAGAGTAGTGGAACACGTTACCAAATATCATCATTAACTCGAATACGCTGGGTAGCATCAAACATAGGTTGGATGGATATATGAGCGATAGGGGTTGGGTATAAATGGAACAGCCCAGTATGGGCCAATAGGCCCGCTGCAGTTTCCTCCATTCTTATGTTCCTTACCTGTTATTCCTGGCACACTGTGAGGTGATGTCAACCAATTCGTACTTCACTGAAACGCTTCTATCTATGTATCATCACTATGCAATATTAATTTCACAAGGGAATTAGTTCAATAGCCAATTTAACGCTCCCATTGAATCAGTGTTTATAATTACAGTTACTTCTTGTATGACATATATGTGTTAATCTTGGTTTGCTATGTTATGTGTGTTCACTACTGGTATATAACAACACTCTTGGTATATACACTACTTCTCGCTCTCATCCTCTAGAACAACTTGGTAAACGCTGCTCCTATAACCTTAAATAACATGTATATAAGATGGAGCGCTGCCGTGTACACCATTTTCAGTATTTTCGTCGATAATTTAGCTATCACGAAGTACAGGAAGCTTTCGATTTTTATAAAGAATGACATACTGAATCTCGGCTCAGTGCCCCCGTATGCGTTTGTTTCACCAGTGGAATGTGTTTCAGTTTCATCTTCATCAAGGCTATTTACGGGCGTTTCAGACATGCACTGTGTCGTGTTTCCAATAGTGTGGTGTATTGCGTCATCCCTGAAGCGAGGTGCATTGGTTTCAGAGCCGTGATGGGCCGTAATATCACTGCCGGTGTGCATTTCGGTGTTTTCTGTGCAAGATAAACCAGTTTCCCCTTCACTAGTAAGTTGTACAGCCATTTTCAGCCTGGTGTCACGTACACAGCCAAGAAAAGACGATGCCTACACTCACGGCACTTCTTACTCGTACAACCCCTCCCCTAAAGCTGACACACCTTGGCACCTACTTACCCTGCCTGTGCCAAACCCACACACACACATACACACACACACACACACACACACACACACACAGGTACCTCACTAAATAAGCCTACCTCGAGCATTGATGAGGGGGGTGTTGGTGCAAGTACTGGTGGAGAAGAGGGAGATGTTGGGGACGCTGGCGGAGAGGAGGTGGGTGATGGAGACCAGACCCATCATGGTGCAGGCCGGTCCTACCTCAGACTGACACCACCAGCAGCTGTGGTGCCTGCCCTTCTGTCACATGCTCTCCCTCCCTCCTTCCCCTCCCCCTTCCCTACCTCTTTCCCTCCTTCCTTACCTCCCTCCCTCCCTTTCTTACTACCTCCTTCCCTCTCCCGTTCTCCCCTCCTTCCTACCCCCCCTCCGTATCTCTCCCACCCTTCCTTCTCTCTCTCCCTCCCCAACATCTAAGTTCGTATCTTACCTTCCATAACCTTTCACCCTCCTCCTCCCCCTCCTTCATCCACAACTCTCTCTTTCTCCTTTATCACCTTCCTGACCACCTTTATCAGTTCCTGCCATCCCTCCCTGTCATATTATCCTCCTCCTAAGTGCTTTCTGGATTTGTTGACATGAAAACACTTGTCTCTATCTATCCATCTTCTACAAACTGCATCGTCTCTTCCTCTTTCTCTTCTATCCTCTCCTCGTCACTCTTTCTCCTCCCCCAGTTCTCATTGCGTCTTCCTCCCCTCACCTCCGCCCACGTTCACACTTGTGTCATTTGCCTCTTCCCTCCCTCCCTTCCTTCGTTTACTGGGCTCTTCCTTCCTCCCACTTTCTCCCCCTCAAGTATTTCTCCCTTTCTCTTCTCTTCTTCTTCTTCCTCCTCCTCCTTCTTCTTCCAACTCCTCTTTCTACTTCTTTTAATTTTTGTTTGTTTTATCGTCTAAATACTCACACGTCATTTTCATCCACCTCCACGCCCCCAACCACCTCCACGCCCCCAACCACCTCCCCGCCCTCATCCACCTCCCAACCCTCAACCACCTTCCCGTCCTCAACCACCTCCCCGCCCTCATCCCACCTCCACGCCCTCATCCACCCCACGCCCCCTGACCACCTCCACGCCCCGACCACCTCCACGCCCCAACACTCCATGCCTCTGACCACCTCCACGCCCCCACCACGCCTCCCTGACCACCTCCACGCCTCCTGACCATCTCCATCGCCTCTTGATCAGCCTCCTGCTCAACCATTCTCACTCCTCACCCACCTCCTGCCCCCACCTCAGGCCTCGCCCCCAACTGCCTCTGCCTCATTCACCTCCTCATCCACCTCCTGCCTCATCCACCTCCTCACCACCTCCTGCCTCCTGCCTGTCCACCTCTCCCTCATCCACCTCCACGCCCTCACACACACTCCTAAAAGCGCGGGCAGGCACGTGTTAAGACTGACTCAACTAATGATGTATTTGACAGACAAGGTGGTGGTGGTTGGAGGAGAGAAGGAGGGGGAAGGAGGGGGAGGGAGAGGAGGGGGAAGGAGAGGAGGGGGAAGGAGAGAAAGGGAAGGCAGGAGGGAGAAGTGATATGAAGGAGTATGGAAGAAAGGGAGAGAGGGGGGAGAAAAGGTGTAGGAGGAGGGTGGAAGGAGGAGGGCAGGGAAGGAGAGGCAGAAGGAGGAAGGAGGGGGCAGGGGTGCTGGAGAGGACAGGAAGAGAGGGACTGGTAAGAGGAAAGAGAGAACAGGAAAGTACAGAAAAGGTGGGTACAGGAAGAGGACAAGGAAGTAAGAGGATAGGGAAGGGAAGGATGAAAGAGAGAGAGGGGGGAGGAGGACAGAAGTGAAATGGTGAGGAAGAGAGGCATGGAGGGAGGCGGAGGGGGAGGAGAGGAGGACCCTGGAAGGGTAAAGAAAAGATAGAGAAGGGGTGGAGAGAGAGAGAGAGAGAGAGAGAGAGAGAAAGAGAGAGAGAGAGAAAGAGAGAGAGAGAGAGACAAAAAGTCGTGGCTAGAATTCAATTGTCAATATGTCCCCTAAAAGGTAATGAAGTTATAAGGGACTACTTAGAGGGGAGGGCAGAGGGGAGGAGAGGGGAGGGGAGAGCGTAGGGGGTAAGTGTGAGGGGGGAGAGGAAGGTGGAAGGGGAGACAGGGCAAGGCAGGAGGAGATGGGGCGCAGGAGGTGGAGGAGACGTGGTGAATTTGGAGAGGGCGAGTGGAGGTGAGGAGGTGGGAAGGAGGATGGCGGAGACAAGGGAGGGGAGGTGGAGGAGATGGGGCTACAGGGAGGTGGGAGGAGGTGGGAAGAATGGAAAAAGTGAGGGTAAAGTGGAGGCAGAGGTAAGAGAGGGAGAAAAGGAATGGAGGAGATGGGGTGAGGGGGAGGGAGGAGAGGGCGAGGGAGGTGGAGATGTGGGCGGGAGGTGGAGGAGTAAAAATAATGGAGATGGGCGAGTGGAGGAGAGGAGGTGGAGGAGGTGTGGGCGAGGGGAGGTGGAGGAGGTGTGGGCGAGGGGAGGTGGAGGGGTTTTGAACGAGGAGGGAAGGGGGAGGTGGAGGTGGTGGTGGGCGCTGATCCAACACAAACGGTGGTCCTGTGACAACCACCTGACAACAACTGCCTCAAGGTCGCACGTATACGAGGCGGTGGGACGAATCACACGCCTAAGACATATACTCGTACACCGGGGAGAAGGAGACGACTTGACGTGAACATTACCTACCCAAGCTTATTTCACCTAATGAGTAAACACCCTAACGTTACCTGGGGGAAATTAGATTAGGTTTGGTTAGATTAGGTTAACTTAGATTAGGTTGAGTCAGGTTAGTTAAGGTTTACATCAGGAGGGTTAATTATAAGGTGAAATAAGCTGGAGTGGTTAATTTTCACATGATCCGAGGCTCGTTTCCATCTATAAATCCCTACAGGCAAATAGTTTTCTCTGATACAATATGTGGCTTATTCCCTAACTCTCCTAAAGCCTGATTATCCCCCTCCTCCCACCACATCAGATAAAGACTTACAGAGCAACAAAATGATAAAATATGACCCCCAAAAAACCCAGAGTGTAAACATCTCTGCAATCATACATTATCATCCATCTATTTACAATCAAGTTACGCCACAGTCGTCCCAAAGTAACAAATAAATTGACTTTACAAACCTTATGATAACAGGGATAAAATAATTGCCATCTTAAATATACACAGAGACTTCTACATCCTCTCTCTGCCATTCCATGAGACACTGGAGTTGAGGGAGAGCGAGCGTCTAGATCAAACCTGACTAAATAAACAAGCTGGATTGGATCACGTCTCCATGTTATTCAAATCATTTTCTTTGATTCATACAAAGTTAGGACTATTTCACGTCACTAAAGATAATGTAATCAGACAGACGAGACAGTTAAAGTGATCAAGTTGCATTTTTCTTCAATACTAATAACCATTTTCTATTACTATTTACTGTATACTGGTACCATTTTCTATAATAGCCTTTACTCTTAAACATAATCAAAGGCGCTATTCTGGGTACATCCATTCATTAGCCGCAACAATGTACCCTGTCACACCTGGCACTTAAATAGCCCGTTCCCGTTTTCTCTAGCTACCCCCACCAACATTAATGCTATTTTCTTTGAGACAATATTAGTACACCTGACTATTATAATACACAAGAATGAGCCAATTTATGTTACTGATGGCGAGACAATATGACAAGGTACAGCAGTGAGTTACAGCCAACACTTTCCAAATGTGTTGTACTCTCATGTAATCTCTGTAAGGCAGTACCCAACCGAACCCTTGTTATGTCTCCTGTACCCTAAGATGACTACTGTACCGGGGTTGGAGAGGATGGGAGACCGGATCTACTGTACTAAGTCGGTTGCTGTATTGGAGGGGATTGCAAAGTGGGTGTGGGGAGGGGGAGACTGAAGTGTGGGGAGGGGGGTGACTGAGGTGTGGGGAAGGGGTGACTGGAGGTGGGGAGGGGTGACTGAGGTGGGAGGGGTGGAGACCGAAGTGTGGGGAGGGGGGTGACTGAGGTGGGGAGTGGGGGTGACGAAGGTGGGGAAGGGGTGACTGAGGTGGGGTGGGGGAAGGGGGCACTGAGGTGTGTGAAGGGCGGACTGGAGGTGGGAGGGGACTGAAGTGAGTGGGGGTGACTGAAGGTGTGGAGGGGTGACTGAAGGTGGAGGTGACTGAAGTGTGGAGGGGTGACTGAAGTGTGGAGAGGGGAGACTGAAGTGTGCAGAGGGTGACTGAGAAGTGTGGAGGGGTGACTGGGCGTGGGAGGGGAGACTGGGGCGCGGGAGGGGAGACTGTGTGCAGAGGGTGACTGAGAAGTGTGTGGAGGGGTGACTGAAGGTGAGGGGGAGACTGAAGGTGGGAGGGGGAGATTGAAGTGTAGCAAGAGAGGGTGACTGAGTATGTGGAGGGGGGTGACTGGGGAGGGGGGAGACTGAAGGGTGGGGAGGGGGGACGAAACGTGCAGAGGGTGACTGAGAAGTGTGGGAGGGGTGACTGAAGTGTGGGGGAGGGGAGCGATGGAAGTGTGGAGGGTGACTGAAGTGTGTGGAGGGGTGACTGAAGCAGGGGAGGGGTGACTGAGGTGTGGAGGGGTGATCATGGTGGGAGGGGGTGACTGAGCTGTGGGGGTGGGGGTGACTGAAGTGTGTGGAGGGGTGACTGGAAGGTGTGAGGACTGAGAAGCGTGGAGGGGTGATCAGGGGCGTGGGAGGATGACGGAAGGTGTGGGAGGGGTGACTGAAGTGTGTGGAGGGGTGACTGAAGTGTGGGAGGTGACTGAGGGGAGGGGTGACTGAAGTGTGTGAGGGGGTGACTGAGTCAGTGGGGTGGGGTGCTGAATTTGGGCGTGGAGGGGTGACTGAGGTGTGTGGGGTGACTGAGGTATGGGAGGGGGGTGACAGATAAAAAATGGTGGGGTGAGGGAAGTAGATAAAGGTGTGAGGGAGAGAAGGTAAGGAAATTGGGGTGAAAGGAATGAA